AATGTTATTCCAATATAACTCACGGTGGGGCGCTACGAGGAGATAATTGATTTTTAATCGCATTGAATCGCTCGATTAGAATATTGCATTAGTACGTCCGGAGATGACGCCCGCCGCACGTACGACTGTTTGTAATTGGAATTTTAATAGTTAGTTAAGATAAGAGGGACCAATGTACCAAATTACGAAAGTTTCTGGTGGAATGACTGTGAATATTCAGCCCTTTTTAATGCTTAACGGACTTTCTCTCGATGTGAGGAAGATCAGGTTATAGTCCACCACACTGGCTATGGAGGTTGGTGAACTTTGCGTGTTTTGAAAGCTTTCCTTACCACGTTTTTCATTGCCGAAAAAGTCATGTTGAAAATGATTCACACATGAAATTTCAGAGGTACAAGAGTGCGGGCTTAAACCCACTGCACTTTGGTTTCCAAGCAAGCGCGTTACGACTGAGCTACAGCTACTATGGTTGGACCGTTCCGCTTACACGGTACATTATCGATATTCTGTATCGATATATCGTACATTATCGCTTATTTTACACGGATATAGCTTAGTTTTCTATTCTTTTGTAGTTCACACCTTCGTCAATATAATTTAACAAGGAATATTTTTATAGAGTTAGAATTTTAATAAACAGATACTATATTATGTAGGTAACAGTATAAAAATGATATTATGTATTAGAAGAAACAGTGATATAGGAAAGGAATCGTGAAGTATCGCGTAAGATTTTTATTTATCAGTAGATAAATAATAAGTTTTTAGCTGTCGACACAATATTTGATAATGTAAAAAGGAAAAAACTTAATGATGAAAGTCTCCATATTTTTTTACCTTTTTCATTTCTATTCTTTATATTCTTTTCCTGCATCATCAATTCGTAAAGCGGAAGGGACGTTTTTCTTGTAGATAAGTTACGATTCCCTCCACCCCCTCCACCCCACCCCCCAACGTGCGTTCACCTTGTCGTGGTGGGGGGCTCAGTAGTGCCCGGCAACCCAACCGGGCGCGAAGCCAAGAAACGCACAGGGAGGTGGCCCACTTCTGTGGGCGGTGTACCATGCCGGTGGTTGCTCCTGGTACTTCCTTGATAGCAGAGTTGACCGTTGGAGCAACCCCATGGTTGTTGTGGTCTGCTTCAGTTGACCTGCCGTTGTGGCATCGCGGTTGAGTGCGTTTCCCCATTAAGACGGGGGAGGTTTTAGTGAATAGTACTGGTTTTTTTAGCCGGTAAAAAAAATATTACCGCTTACTTGTCATTATGCAGATTGGATGATTGTTAATACTCATTTTGAATCGTATATAGTTACATTTTACCTAAGGGCCTATACACATGTTTCTTTTTGATTATAATGAAAACTAAAAAAAGAATACTGAGATTGCAAATTAACTTTATAGGTCGAGAGTTTTTTTTCCATGTTTGTAAATTTGGTATAAACTATTCAGTAAATAAAAAAATGAGATGTGCTATATTCTTTCTTAAATTGAAACAGATAATATACTAGTATTATATCATTAATTCATACTTAAGATCATTTATACTTAATTTTTAGTAAATTATGACCTGTATTTTGTTATTTTCTTTGATATATTTTATAGTGAACGTGGCATGTTGAGATCAAGATGACCGCAAACGTTTTATGGGCATGACTGATACGCGTCTCAGATGAAAAACTTTATGGCCTATCTACAGTAGTTGCGTAATGTTAGCTGTAGTACATGCTTTTATTTCTGACGACAATAAAATATATTCTGCGTAATAAAACCCAGGGATACATTTGGTTTAATAATATTAAAAATTTGCTATTGTTTGTTTGTTTGTTGTTTGTGCTTTTGGGTTCGCAACATGACTTTTTACATATCGATAATTTAAGTATATAGTTTGTTTTTATATCCCAGAACCAAAAAGAAAAGAGTTTTTAGTATGATATCTGTTCGAAGTATTGTATTTGTCAATTGGATTCAATTTTTCAATTGGATAGACAAATATTAATGCAATTTAATTTATTACAATATACTTATGATATAATATACTAGCGACTCACCCTCGCTTCGCTCGGGTTCGTCCCTAGGTTGGTTCTCCATACAAACTTTCATCCCCATTTTCACCCCCTTAGGGAATAATTTCCGGGATAAAAAGTATCCCCAATCATACAATAGAGTATTGAATAAACAATATTATTTCATTCATCAATGTTTTAAAGTGAAAGTTCAATTAAACAAAGTAGATACTAGGTACTATAGATGTCACTACTACGTTATACGAGTACGAGTATGAAAACAAAGGAAAATTGTTAGAATTCCGCTGAAAAATATAAATACTCGTATCAAAAGTTCAATGAATGAATGTGGTTGCGCTAATTGACTTTAAATTTACTTTAATTATATTAACCGATTAAATAATGCACGAGCTTTGTGAGAGCAGTTAATAAATTAAATTACTTTGGAATATATATTGTATACATATATTTTTAAAGTGTTATTTTTAACGATTTGTTTTGTTTTGTGTAAGCAAATTTTAATGGTTGTTTATTTTGATCTTATTAATATTATAAATCTGAAAGTTTAGATAGATGTTTGGATGTTTGTTACTCAGCCAGAACGGCTGAACCGATCTGGATTAAAGGCACAGAGATAGATTTTAGTCTGGAATAGCTTATAGATTACTTATTATCCCAGAAAAATGTACGGTTCCCGTGGGATAGATTTGGTCTTGTTTTTCTACAGTGGAGAGCGTGAGAGTTATAAAAGTTTTAACTATTTTAATGCAATGTAAGGCGTTAGCAGTAAATTTTTTATAATAGATTATAATAATTCTAATTTATATAAATAATGTTTTGAATCAAATGGGTTCAACACAAAGTTTTTGTTGGTACCAATTATCCTCTTTTTCAACCGACTTCAAAAAGAGTAGGCTCAGAACGTAGGTGACTTTATGTACTCTCTGAGGCACAGAGGTGTATTAATGGTTAGTATGGAATAAATAGATTATATATTACTACATATATGTATATACATAGATATCTGATGAGTTTTATATCCCTTACTTGAGAAATGATTGATTCCCCATACAAACTTTCATCCCCTTTTTTACCCCCTTAAGGAATGATTTCTGGGATAAAAATCCTACGCCCTTCCCAGGGTCTCAAACTATCTTCATACCAAATTTCATCTAAATAGGTTCAGCAGATTTTTAGTTTATTCATTACGAACAAACTCACACTTACAAACTTTACCTCCTATTAATATTAGTGTAGATTAGTGTAGATAAAGTTATTGATTAGCCTCTCACATAGAAATAAAGTGTTGGAACATGGTTACAAACTTCAAGACTAGACTAATTCAGACAAACAAACCGCTAAAAAGTTTTTAATAAATGCTTATGACCTGAAAAACTCATTTGTTCCCATTACAAACAGACACTTAACAAGTTTTTAACGAGATCTCTTGCGAAAATAAAATATCTATAAGAAGTTAACATTAAAATTCATAGATCAGTGCACAAGTACGAACAAACATAAGTACAGTCTTCTCGCTATCCTGATCTTATATTTTCTTAGATTTACGCGAATATTTGACATTTTAAATAAAACCATCTTTTCGGATTCTTTCGCAGATTTATTTTGATTTTTGATTCCTGACGTTCCGAATGATTTACAGAAATCATGGTCACGGCAGAGACTAAGGTTTAAGACGTCTCGAAACATCATTAACCAAAAATGAAAATAAATCCACGAAAAAATCCGAAAAAAAAATAGATTTATTTAAAATATCCTGATTCCGTTACTAGGGGAACCCTGACCAAATGGATCAGTCTTATATAGCCATAACTTGCTTCGAGACACAGGTCATAAGAATTTAACAATTTTACACACCCCTCAACTACAGACTATCACTCAGAATTAGATTTTATCTTCTTCGATTGCTTCAAGACCGAAAAAATCGACAGCAGTAGTAACTAGTCAGGCTTTAAACCCTTAAAAACCCTTACCCTTTTAAACCCTTAAGATTTACAACCATAATGCTAGCGTCTTCACTTATAATTCGAAAACACTTTTAAAGTGATAAATTTTCGTCTCTGCAGTGTACGCATCGAAGATAAGAGACCATTATTCACTATCTTAATGAATTTACGTACAATTAAAAGTTTACAACAGTTTTATAATTAAGTGAAATAAGGCTGTTAAAAGATTGCAAATTGTGTCCGAGGCCATGTCATATCTTCAGGCCATATTTATGTTGGCAATGTATTTAAAAATAAATGCAGGTATTTTTATATATTTTCTTTTTTTTTAAACAGTCGTGGAGATTATTTCTTACAGCGGGTTATTATTATTAAATAACGTGAATGGATTGCTTTATTTTTCTAGTTTATTTATATTATTATATGTATGTAAGTACGTATGTACGTAAATGCCAAATTTTCACACCTGGCAAGATTATTGAGCGAATTTGAATATGATTTATAAAACATGTATTTTTTTTCTTGAATTTTACATACTCGTAGTCTATTATTCAGTTCTAATAACGTTGCTAGTGATGCTTCTCAATGTTTATCCGGATGATCCGCTTACTATAGAACAGATGTCTTTTATATAATAAACTATTCTTTAAATATAAATGTCGTATTACATCCTAGACAGCCACACCCGAGGTTTTAGTTTCAGATCCCGCATGAAGCGAAGAAATATATAATTAACACGTAAAAAAAAACAAATACTACAACACCTTTAAACTCGCAATTTAATCTTGACGTCAACGCAGTAGCTTATGATTCTCACAAGCTTTTAACGAGAGCTTAGAAGCGAGAGCGACAATGTAGGCATCGTAAAGAGAAAATAAATTTCAACTGCCCTACACTGGACCTGGTTTTAATGTGGCAATAACGTTTCAGCGTTAGCAACAAAGTTGGCGATTGTTGTTAACTGTAAACCTATGGTTTGGTATAAAATTTAACTTATAATGCAGAAAGCCATGATAATAGAGAAATTCATGTGATGGAATCGAAAAACTGTAAGCAACTGTAGAATGACTGATGATTTATAACTCCCTTTATGTTCACATTTACTCCCATAGTATTCCCAAAGATAGTTATTACTTACATATAATAGTCAATTACCTAGATGTTTGTCTGAGCTAGGTATAGAAATACTAGAGCTGCAATTTTTTTAAGGAATTTAGAACTTGAATACATTTGGCCATAAAAATATTACTAAAATTTCTAAAAAAAATCGGTGATTTACATTATATTTCCAAAAAATCTTTGCTAAACAAGATTTGTCTTGATATTAATCAAAAGTTTATTCATCCAGTGCCTCCAGAAGCATGCTTCGCCAATTTTAGATGGGAAGACTGTGGTAGACCACCTGTTAAAGTTCTTTACTATTGGAAACCAGGATCGAGATGCGAAGTTGGAGTGTGGCGAGGGTGTTTTCCAAATATGAATATGTTCAAGAATGAATACGAATGCGTTGCCACGTGTATATTTACAGCCCGAGCTGAGTCTTCAGACTATCATGCCTTAAAGGAACCAGATATTTCTGAAAGCGCTACTACGTTTGAAAATGAGACTAGTGTAGATAATTTAAAGTTATCATTAGATGAAGGAAACACAACATATGCTGTAAATCAAACTATTACAGGTAATAGTAGCATAGCAGGTAACGCTACTAAGATATCACCAGATGAAGGAAACACAACATATGCTGTAAATCAAACTATTACAGGTAATAGTAGCGTAGCAGGTAATGCTACTAAGATATCGTCAGATGAAGGAAACACAACATATGCTGTAAATCAAACTATTGCAGGTAATAGTAGCATAGCAGGTAGCGCTACTAAGATATCATCAGATGAAGGAAACACAACATATGCTGTAAATCAAACTATTACAGGTAATAGTAGCATAGCAGGTAACGCTACTAAGATTAACTGAAGCAACGGGTTAGTTAGAAGATAAAAAAATTATAACAAATGTTATGTCATCTTTTATATATAAATAAATATAGTTGTCAATAAAATGCTTGAATTATTTATTTATTAAAAATAATTTAGTTTCTTTTGCTTAAGTTATAATTATATCAATTATTATAAGATTTTATATCACTACTCTTTCAGTAATCTGCAAGGTTATCTTGTAATCTGAACCTTGGTGTTTCGTATACGTTGAACGTATTTATATGATATTCCGGCGGTAAAAAAATTCCTAAATGCTGACCCAGATAATCAGCTATCATCATACTAAATTTCATCAAAAATCTGTCCAGTGGTGTTCTCATGATGCGTTCCCAGACAGAAAGACAGACTGACAAACACTAGAGATTCGGCCTCTATATCGATAATAATGACTATTTCAATAAAATTTTCCAAAAAATATTTAATGTACAGATTCGACTCAGTTACAATTTTATTATATGTATAGATTTCAGTTGTGAAAGGTGAAAAATGGTGTCCATATGAGAGAACTTTCCCTATATAATTTTTACTATACGAACCTTTTAATGGATGAAAAACACGCTGAAACATAGAAGGAATACAATTGGTTACGTGGATGACAACTACATTACATTAACCCTGATGTGAAGAGGCCTTGTTACAAACATACATACAAATATATTTTACCATTTATTATTATACATATATTCAAGAATTACAAACCACAATAAGATCTGAATGTGTGGAGATCCAGTGTCCTAATAAATTTACGATAAATATTGTGCATTGTGTTCGAGATAGATTAATTTAGCAGTTGGACGCTATCTCCCGCAGCCGGGTAAGATTTATGTGTATAGCACGGCCTAGTCGTATTGAAAAATATAGCCAGGTTGCGTGCTCCACAATAACGATAAGACTATTTATATATAAATGTATACATTTATGTGTGTTCAACATTCATTTGTTATAAACTTAATGATTTGCATCTTAAGTTTCATCTGAACGGGTGCGCAACTTAGACCAGCTTGGCAACTGGCTTCTCTCAAGGCGGCGGATCCCATTTATGTGTGTTATTGTTTAATATTTTAAATAAAAGTAAGGTATTCATCTGACTTTGCTTTGTTTATACGAAGACTACGCGGATTTTTCAATATGTGTTGTCATTATGTTCATCTGTTCGGGAGCTACGATACCACAGATAGACACACACAGACACGTCAAACTTATACCACCCCGTTGTTTTTGCGTCGGGGGTTAATAAAAGTATCAAGCTCATAATCTAAATCACAGCGATATATAAGATGTAAGTATGAGTAGGTATAGTTAACAATAACTATGGTAATTGACACTTCTATATCTACACTACTATTAACGAATGAACTAAAAAACTACTAAACCGATTTAGATGAAATTTGGTAACAAGATAGTTTGAGACCCTGGAAAGGACATAGCATATTTTTTATTCCGGAAATCATCCCTTAAGGGGGTGAAAATGGAGATGAAAAGTTGTATGGAGAATCAACCTAGGGACGAACCCGAGCGAAGCGAGGGTGAGTCGCTAGTAGAAAGTATTATTATAGTATATATTATTATAGTAGGTACATTGATCATATTATCTATGTATCTAAATAAATAGGTAAAGACAAAATAGTTCAGTAACTTTTTCTTCTCGATTCATTTACCGATTTCCTTTTCTTTTTATTAGTTCTATTGACGAGCTTTAGTTTTATCAATATAAAAAATCGGTCAAGTGCGAGTCGAATTTGCATACGAAAGGTTCCGTATCATCGTTCATGTACTTTTTATTAATATGACTATTACTCTATATATGTATGTAGTAACTTCGATGATCGACTACGAACGTTAAGAAGATGTTTCTTGCATTTTTTTTATTTGTTGTTATAGGGGCAACAGAAAATACATACTCTGTAAAAAAATCAACTCTCTATCTATCACGGTTCAGCCCTCTGACAGACGGACGGACGGACAGCGTAGGCTTAGTAATAGGGCTCCGTTGGCACCTTTCGGGTACGGAGCCCTAAAAAGTTTTGTAAATTCCTCAAAATTTTAAATTACTCAACAAAACAAAATCACTAGGCTAGTTAATTTAAATGGAAAATGGGAACACTACTTAATTTAAATATGGCATAATAGAAGTCATTCGTATTCTAGCTTAAATTTAAAGAAATATTCAAGTTGCTTAGCCAAATTGAATTTAAAAAAAGTTGGTTACGTTTTTCTAATCTTTCCTTTGCATTTTGTGTCAAAATGGAAGCGTAATTAAAATTTTAAATTACAAAATGGGTATTCCACTACGATTACTATGACAAAATATTTTTATTTATTTCTCTTTAACACCCTATGTAATTAAAATTATCCTAAAGGTCCTCATATGTTAAAATCTAAAAACTCTTCTGAAAAGCTGGGATAGGGAGCATGCTAAATGTTAGCCATATATATATATATATATATATATATATATATATATATATATATATATATATATAATAAAAAATTGAAAACATTACCTTACTTTTGAATAGTCGGTTAAAAAATAACTATGAAAGTTAGAAGATGTAAGATAAAAGTTTACAGCGCTCATAGAAAGCACGTTTTGCGTTTGTACAAGTAACTATAGTTTGAAGGAGAGTATGATGTTTATGTTTAAAGTAGATACTTTAGAAAATAAATATGCAGGTATACAGTTTAACAGCTCAGCTCTTTGTATTCTGGATATTTTGGATTTTCTTCGCATTTCCATAGTATTTTGTAGTCGAATCCAGATTACCTCGATCTTTTAGAAACGTGGAGGATACTAAACGATACCTATAAATCGTGTTGTATGTAGAATTTAGAAATATTTTTGACGTATACTTATTGTTATTTATTTAAATATAAGGAATCTAAACGAGTACGTATACATATATCTATGTCTAATATTATAAAGAGGTAAAGTTTGTGAGTTCGTGACATTGTAGGGGGTAATCTCTGGATCTACTGAGCCGATTTAGATGAAATTTGGTGAGAAGATAGCTTGAGACTCTGGGAAGGACATAGGATATTTTTATCCCGGAAATTATCCCTTTAGGGGATGAAAATGGGGATGAAAGTTTGTATTGGGAATCAAGCTATGTAATGTATAAAATAAAATAATTGCTGCTTATACGAAATATGGTATTAACAGATGGCATTTTAAATTGTCTATATGCTTTAAATATTCGCAACCGATAAAACTATGTACGCTTAGTCTAGTATCCTTTTATAGCAAATTTAATGATATAGGGTTGTTGTACCAAAACATCTCCAGACTAGATAGAGGCTTTTTAATTAAAAATATACTGCAGCAATTTTTTGTTCACAACCCCCTTGGGTCTTGTTTGTTAATATGTTTTATTGTTTAAAAAAAATATTTCATCTAGAAAAAGAGTGTGGGGTCCACTAGATCGACATCTCCTGCCAGTTGGAATAAATTTCAATTCAAATCAAAATACACATGTATGTAATATATTATGATAATGACAAAACACTTCAGTACCTTTTCCTCCTCTTTTTGTCAACCGATTTTTTTTGCTAAGTAGCTATTGATAAGCTTTAATGCTATAATAAAAACCTTTATTTATTACTAGCATTGTCCGCGGCTCCGCCCGCGTTCAGATGACCAAAAACCAAATTCTTAGGTTTTAAATATTTACATTGCAGAAATGAGATACTTTCCTGCGGTATAAAGTATCCTAATGTTGACTCGGATAACCACATGTCACCATACCAAATTTCATCAAAATCCTTCAAGTAGTTTTTCTGTGATGCGGTAACAGACAAACAGACAGACATAAAAAAAATCAAAAACTATAGATTCGACCTCTGTATCGATAATAATGTCTATTTCAATAAGATTTTCCAAAAAGTATTTAATGTACAGATTCGGCTTAGTTACAATCTATACATATAAATAAATTGCAACTATATATATTTGGTACAAAATTTTTAGAAATTTATACACAAACCGAAGAACGTTTATCGTTTTTTCTATTAGTAAAAACCGTATCAAAAACCCTTGTATGATTTAGAAGAACTATGCAGAGAAACAAATAGAAGCAGACAGCGACTTTGTTTTATATAAAACCGATTACGAATTTTTCATCTTTTAAGCCCTCGGAGAACTACGCGTAGATCATTCTTTACTTTCGGCAGTTGACCTTTTGATTTATGGTTATTGTATCATACCTCATCCTGACCACTGTATATTGATCTCTCAACATAAAATGACATGTATGAAAATATCCACTGACAGAGATCTCACGAAATTGGACATTTTGTTAGTATATGATATCACAGATATATCATACTGCGGTGTTAAGGTGTCTAGGGAATGCCTGAGATGGGTTTGTAGGTTATAATGTAGACTAGAATCATCGTACATTTTACACCATCGTAAATTTTACTTGGATTGTTGAGACAGCGTTATAATCTACACATATGATAAAATTGTAACTAAGCCGAATCTGTACATTAAATATTTTTTGGAAAATCTAATTGAAATAGACATTATTATCGATACAGAGTCCGAATCTATAGTTTTTAGAATTTTTGTCTGTCTGTCTGTCTGTCTGTTACCGCATCACGAGAAATCACTGGAGGGATTTTGATGAAATTTGATATGGTGATAGCTGGTTATCCGGGTCAACATATAGGATACTTTTTACCGCGAGAAAATGTCTCATTACTGAGGAAAAATACTAAAACTGCAATGTAAGAGTATACTAATTATTATGCAATGCAATGCTAGTAATGTACATAAAGAAATATTTAAATAAACTTTGAAAAATCGGAGAAACACATTTTATAACACTTTCCATTGTTTTGAATCTTACTACTATATAAATGGGAAAGTTTGCATAGATGGATGTTTGTTACTCAATCACTCCAGAACAGCTGAACACATTTGTATGAAATTTGGCACAGATATAGATTATAGTTTGGAATAGCACATAGGCTACT